TCGCGTACAAACGAAAGATGGACACAGTGGGACACTCTATTGTTCTTTAACGCGAACCTGGAGAAAAAAACACGGCCATCTTGAATTTAATATTGGCTACTTTTCAACAGTATTTGTTTTATTGCCGGCCGGTTAAGTGGTGGATCGGTGATGGGGCGTAGTGGGATGTTTGGAAGGATGAAGTAGTGGGCAGTTGGCAAAGGTGGAACTATAGGTGGTCACGTACGTACGTATATACAATGGATGGACAGATCCACGCCTTTTGGAGCTTCGCCCCTGAAAATTGAGACTGCAGGGACACGTTGACGATGTGCGGTGTGGAAGCTTACGTTTCTTTTTAAACACGAAAATGTTTTATGCCAGGCACCAACACGGCTCCGCTTACGTACTTCCGTCACGGAAGTGACCTTCAAAAATTATATACTGAAAGATTGCGAAAAAAAAACTAGAATTCAAGCAATTGTCGCGCGGTATCGAACCAGGAACATCCCGATTCTCCGCGCGCAGCGGCAATCACTACGTTACGAAGCGTACGTTGTCTGGAATGCTAACGGAAAAACATTTATATACACCCTACATCATTTGGCAGTCCTCAAAGCTTCGAAACTTTCGTGTGTTTTTGTTATCAGTGGTGAGATGGCGCGACAAGCTCACGTTGGGCGCGCTCCAAAGGTCGTCCCTTCAATGAAGCGCTTCCTACACGGAGTGTGGTTTCTGCTGCGCGCGCGCTTATCAGACTCGTTGCATTCGGGAGAGAACGAAGGTCACTTCGCTCGCTGTCGTGGCCGTTCTCACGAAATGAGCGCGCTGATGAAACACGACGCAAGAAGAATTGTGACAGTTGTTGGCGCTTATTCTGTGTATACTTGTGCGCTTGTTTCGTGCGTCTTTCTTTCTGTTTAAACAGCACGCTTTATGTGTCGAGCTGTGACAGTTGTTAGTCCGCGTTCGTCCTGTGTATGCTAATTTCGTGCGTACTTTCTGCTTGAGGTGTGCGCTGCAAGTTTCGAGCTGCTTGCTGTTCTTAAAGTCACTTTGGAACGTGTTGCTGTTGCTGAAACAATGCACAATAAGCGCTCAACTACTTCTGTGAAGACACGTTTATTCCATTTCGTGTTATACCGATTCCTATCAAATTGATCAGCGAAATTTGTTTTCCCTATTTCCTCACGTCTCCATGTGTTTTCCACACTTTTTTCTTGCTTCATAAATGAATAAACCAATTGTTTTGTGCGCACAGATCTCTGTACATTACGATTGCCAAATGACGAAAGGGCAGCCTATATATGGCAAAATTCAGGTGTTTTTTTTTTTTTTTAGATAAAGGGGCCTTTACGGTAATGACTCTATTTGCTCGCTCATGAAGCGGAAATTCTCTACATTGGCGACGCGGTGCGCGTGCATGTATTTTCTTTTGCGAGATAACGCTAGATTATCTAATAACGGCGTGCAAATAGCGACTCTTGAGACCAAATTGAAAACAAAGACAACGGCGCCTGAAGGAAGAAGTATCGAATACCGATTGTATTTGCAAATTATAATGATATGATATCTACATCCTACAGTAGTTGTATTCTCAACATTAAAACCACAAAAGCAGGGCCAGGAACAGCTAAACTAACACTACGCATGCACAGAATCTTTCGGAGAATGTGAATGATCGTTGTATAGTCAGTGAAGACTGGCTTCTATAGCGACGTAGCATGCCGCAGTATACGTAAGCTCTCCTATATATGGCGGTACTATATGCCTGTGGGAACGAAGTTAATTGTACTTTTGCAACAATTTTACGTTTGTTTCGGTGCACTAAAAGTAGCTTAGACTCCAAGGTCTTCTATGACATTTTTATTATTTTATGCGCAATGCTTTATTGTGGACTCTGATAGTACCTGGCATGTGCATGAGAGCAACTATAGAGTCAAGTAAATATTACACAATTTTAACATTTCTAAAATTTTTACCAAGGGGCAAAAAACCTCAGAGTGGCAGCGGGAGCCGTGACGGCAACATCACGTGAAGTACCACGTAATAATAATTGTTGAGCTTTTGCGTGTCAAGACCACGATATGATTACGAGATACACCGCAATGGAGGGCTCCGTAAGTATACCTGAGATTCTTAAAGGTGCACCTGAATCCAAGTACACGTGCCTCATGCCAACATTTGTGGAGTCCCAAAGCAGTGACGGTCGTGAGATTTGGCGGGAAAAAAAGGTACCTTTCGATAGGGGCGAGGGAGCACCTCCTCTCTGCACTCTTATATGATAGTACAAAGGGTGAGGTCGCTGTCTCGACAGTTAATTATCAGGGGGCATTCCCAGAGTTCCTTATGGAGGTACCCATTACATTTTTTCCTGATAAGGCGCTACTCACAAACGTCGTCGGCGTCACACATTTTGCTCTATGCAAACGCTTTACGGCGAAAGCTGTGATTGTGGGATGCCGTGTCGACAGAAGGATGCATCCTAACATAAAGACATAACCGTTTATTCAGCTATAGCAGCAACATCGGTCGAGCATCCCAACGCTATGCTCGTCTGAGGAGCGGGGCGATAATAATATTGCGGTCTTGCAGCCTGGTTTTGTAGCCATCACCGGTGACGTATGCCTCTGTTGATGCTGCGGTGGCGCTATTGTTTGCAGCGTGCCTACAAGTTATGCTGAGCTAAATAATAGCGAGGTGGAAGCTGCGAGTAATTGTGCGCAGATTATGTCACCACAAGATCGCAAGGGCCAATTTTTGGCACCGTATTGTCCGCCGCCGCTGCTGTCCGTAACCACTATCCCACGAAATAAGAAAAAAAACTAAATAAATAAAAAATACCGAGGATCAAATGGGATTCGACAACACGGCCATCTGCGTTGCAGCCAAGTAGTCTGAGCTACGCCGGTCCTTGAAACTCCGTTTCGAACTGGCCTTATGCAGGCTTAACGTCGTGACAGAAATCGCGTTAACATGTGTAATAAAACGTTTTATATCAGTGCAGTAACAAACAGACGTCACATAATGCGAATTGCGTAACGAGTGCGTCGTCGAATGTTGCAACCCACTACAAACGCCTCAGGCATCGCCATCAGCCCCAGCAAGGTGCACGTAATGCCTTACAAGTGAGCGGGCATCACGCTTCTCTGCTGAATGACGAATAATGTAGTAATGGACGCTTCTTTACTGCACAAAAAATTTTGATTTATGGCGTAGTGGGTACCATGCAAGTGGGCTTGTAGTCTATTGTTGCCCCAAGAGTGTTTATAAACGGCTCCGCTATTGCGGCTCTTCCATCTTTCGCTGTGACTGCATGTTCTGTGCGTTCCACGCAGGCCTAACGATTTTGTTTTTGTTTTCGTTTATATATATTGATACAAGACTGAAAAGAGTGCCACACGTCTTTTGCAGACTTTAAAATTGAAACACATCACCTTTAGGTCGTCTTTTTTCTATTGAAATTTGACACAGCCTTTCTTGCGAGCACGCTAAGCTCATGCTAGTCGGTCAATCTACCGTGTGATTTTGGTGTCTTCACTCCTTCAGCAGTTTAGCCGATATCTTTAAACCAATTAAAAATATTCGTGTTAATGAATGCAATAGTGGATTTTCATTTCGATATTGGAAATTCACGAACATTATTCTCTCGCCCCTATTATTAATTGTTATCGTCACGGTAGGTTCCACGCCGTAAAATTGTTTATTGTTGTTATCATCATCGTCGTCGTAGTTCGAACGCCTTTGCAGACCATGCGGTGACATTTTCCTGAAAGATGTAACTATATATATAGACTCCTGAGAGACACGACTATCACGCATGCGGGCTTCCACCACGTTGGGACGGGCGGGCTAATCGTGGACTCCCAAGACGGTCCAAAGCGGATTCCACTTGTTGAGGCTTCTGATGGCGGAGCTCCTCTTGGCTGGTTGATTGATATATTGCGCCTTTACTGGCACAACTCACTATAGGGAATCGGCCATGAAACGAGCGGTGCCTTGCTACACAAAAAAATTGTTCATAACTTCAAAATGGTAAGTAATAGATAGTTTTGAAATCATTTGATCATTTCACAAACAAAGAGAAAAAGATAATATTTTATTGAACATGTTTGATTTTGATAAACTTTAAAATAAAGTTATTTTCATAAATAATAGGAAGATTAGCAATTTTCGAAAAATATGTTTGATTTCGATGAACATGTTTACTTGATAAGGGAAAACACTCCCGGCATACGAGATGTTTCTTTGTAAAATAACTTGGCTGAAAAGAACTTGGCTCTACCCCCCTCCCCTCCCCTACAAAGGGGATTGACCATACGGTGCCCTATAACGGAAATTGAAGTACTATGCCTCATAAAAAGAATAATCTGAGAAGGACGAAACGTAACGTACACACAAAAACAAAAAGGGCAAAAAGATGCGAGCCCTGCCCTCTGGCTGGTTCGCGTACTCTCGTTTTTCGTCTTTCTTGTCATGTGCACCGCAGTTTAAAATGGCGCTGCTACATTCCCTACAATGCATTTGTAAAAACTGCGTCGCTTTTAGACGTTTTTAGAGGTACGTGTCATTGCCATTGATAAAATCACCATGAAACCGATTCAGCTCCCGGCCAATTACAAATAAATTTCAAGGGTGTCGCCATTATATTTCTTACAAAGAAGAGGAAAAGTAACAAAGCGAGCGTAAGCGGTTTTCTTGGCCTTCTATTTTGGGTCACGCCATTTCCTTGAAGAAAAACTACACAACTTTCGACTCTTACGCTGAAATAGGACAGTAACCTAATGTCATAAACCTGATAATCGTTGGTCGACAGCTGAAACCAGCTAGAACTGTGGACGTACTTAACGCACCTTCCGTAGTATCAACGAAAGGCAATTTAGTGCAAATAAGGTTAAAGGTTGACGTATAATGCCACGACGAGATATTTTGTGCTAGTAGCTTTCATTGTTTTTATATATAGACGTTACAAGTGAGTCATATCGTACACGTCGTTAACTAGAGACATTGCAAGCATATGAATGCATCGTTCCGGCTTGCAAGACGGCAGCCGTGACCAGGTGGTGGTGCGGCCTCTGCCACGGTCAAGGCCGCCAGCCAATGCCAAGAAGCGCCGAACGCCGCTATTTTGGTGCCGCCTGCTGACTGCCTCGGCTGTGGTCGCGGGGGCAACGGCCGCCTGCGTGACAGCCTACCAGATGCTGCTTGAACGAGACGCCGAGGAGCCCTGCACCACGGATGCGTGCCGGAGTGACCATTCCCGACTTGCTGCCATCGTGGAACCCAGCAAGGCACCCTGCGATGACTTTTACGGCTTCGTCTGCAGCGGTGCCACCTGGCAACAGGGCGGTGGCGCCATGTTTATTGAAGTGGAGAACGAAAACCTCAGGAGGCTGAACGCCTCGCTCATCGGCTATGCTATCACCAAATCCGCTCACTCGTTTGGGAGGCTTGCCACGTTCTACGCATCGTGTCACAACGCGTTCACGGGACAGCACGACCTCCGCACGACTATAAGAAGCTTTCTTCGAAACCTTGGCGTATCACTGCGAGAATGGCTTCGGGCCAAGACTCTGGAAGACCTCCTGGATCATGCTGCGTACCTATCCTTGCACCGAAGTATACCGAGTTTCCTGTGGATTCGGATTGAACCGTCGGGCTTAGTATTCGTACAGCCAGCGCTTCCTCTGTCCATAAGGCTCAAAGCCCCCGTGTACAGCGACATTCTGGGACTGCTTCGGAGCTTTGTCAATGCCTTCGAAGAAATCAGAAAGCAGGAAGAGCGGATTTTCGACCTGCACGTAATAAACGTTCGCCTGCATGCGGTTCCAATCACGGATGAATGTATTGTAGTGCATGCCAGACAAGCATTGCGCTTTCTTACAGACCAGGAAATGGTGGTGTGGCTCTCTAAGATCAACAAGTATCTCCCGACAAAATCACGACTTGCACCAGATTCGCAGATCGTGATTAGGAACGCCGACTTTTTGGGCAACCTGTCGCGCTTTTTGCAAGTCTCTCATCGGGAAGTGCGAAATCTCTACATTCTCATGACACTGCTTGAGGCTGTTGTTGAATGGGAGTACGCACGCTCAAAGTTTTCCCGCTCCGCGGACGTCGCCTTCGAGACTGTGAAATACTGCGCTGCCATGAGTCAGACACTCATGTCAAAACTCTGGACATCGTTCGTGACCCGGACACTCGTCATCCGTGAAACAAACGCTCGAGCTATTCGAGACGTCGTAGCCACTGTGACGGAGAGGTTTAAGGACGACTTTGCTGCCGTTACGTGGCAGAATGAGGTGGGAAAAGTGAGAACGCTTCAATGGATGAGTGCTATGCGTTGGCGTCTCCCCGACGAAAGAGACTTTGATGAGGAGGCTGCCCGGGCGTCCATCGCTCACGTTCCGGAAATGAGTAGCTCGCACTTCCTGAATGTGGGTTATCTAAGGCTGCTGACAAGCACGGACACCATGGACGAGGACCACGCCGCGGAAAAGCCGGTTGTCACGTACGACTACAACCGTAACACGCTCACAGTAACCGTCGGTGCGCTGGTGAAGCCTCTGTACTACAGCGATGGCGAAATTCAGTTAAACATGGCGTCGCTGGGCTTTGTGGTGGCTTTCCAACTCTGGAACGCAGTCGTGAGGTATGCGACGTGGGAGCAGCAGCCTCCTTCTTCCTCCTTGTGGGTCTTGGAAGGTGATGCGTCCTGTTTCATCAAGGGATATCGCAACCTCTCGGAGGAACCCGTATCATCAGATACATTTATCAAGCTGGAACTACACAACCGTGTAAACGCGCTCAGGACGATCTTGGGTGCTTCGTCTGGATTCCTCGATATGAGCATAAAAAAACCCGCTCCAAAGTGGCCGCAAGTTACGCAGCTGCAGTTCTTCTTCATCCGCTACTGCTCCATGATGTGCACAAAGGAAGTGTCCGGCTTGTACCGTAATCTCTATTGTGACATTCCTGTATCGTCAACAAGCCACTTTAGAAACGCCTTTCAATGTTCGATAAAGGATACCTTAGGCGCTAAGACCTCATGTGGTGTCTCATGATTGCGCCCTTATACATCCTACAGTGATACCAACATTACCATTTGATTTAGTAAAAAGCTTAAAACTATATTGATGTTTTCTATTATTTTATGACAAACTGTTTGCACGAGTTCAGTTTAGTCGTGATTTTCAGCTAAACGATGTTTCGGAATCACCTTAGCCAAGGATACTATATATAGCACTGTGAAGCTGTCACAGAAGCCTACTGTTGTGCTACTGTTTAGTAACGGTACGTTATCGCTACCTCAAAGTGAAGTGTTATCGGATGATACACTTCGAATTATTGATTAATCCGGATTATCGGACGTTCGGAGTCCAAACGAAGTAGCTTCATCTCTGTCAGATTGTCGAAACGCTTAAAGAATGTGTCATTGAAAATCCTACACGTGGGGCTTACGATGTTTCAAGAGAAACAAATGCAGAAAAGGTGGTTACCTGGGATGACCACCGTGCTGGAAAGAGTTAATGCACCCGCCGGGGGCACAGGGGAGAGAAATACGCTTCGACTGGCCACACGTGGGAAGAACAATTCTTTACAGCATAGGTTTTACATATCCGTATGTTTGTATTGGGTCTTAGAAAATTACATCATGAACCGGCACGCAATGAATCCTCTTCCTCTTCGGCTTGGCTCCCAAGACACGTGCCCTGATTGGCCTAGCGAGGAATGCAATATCTTTGATGGGCGAGAGAACCAGTACAGAGAGTGAAAGAAATAAAGAAGAAAACTCAGGCAAAAAAAACGGTGAGGCGAGATTCTAGCCCGGGTATACACGATTCAAAGGCGAGAGCTGTAACAATTTTTTATGGTACTTATTCAACACAGGCATGACACTGGCACTCAACTCAATCCATACAGATAAATATTATGTCGATTCTGTTCGTATCCCAACCGAACGACGAACACCTAGCATTAAAGAATTCACATTATTTTCTGGAACGAATACATCAAGTTACGCCCATCTTTAATTAGACACTATAATGGCGGTAAGTATGAACATGTACCGGAGCTAATACCATTCTCGCTGACTTTTCATTTGCTCGTCTGCATCACTTAGCTGAGTGACCATCTTAATGTAGTGGGCTGTTGAGGAAACTACCACCTGTGCGTTTTTCTGCTACTTGTGCGCACGCTATTAAGAGAAAAGAGCAAAGCCTGCAGCATGGCTTACGGCGTATAGTTCTCATCCCCTTGATATACTATACGATACTAGGCTTTGCTGTTATAACGGGCACTCACGTAGCAGAAAAACACACAGGTGGTAATTCATCTATATCCCACTCCCAGTTCACACACACACACACACACATACACTATATATATATATATATATATATATAATATATATATATATATATATATATATATATTATATATATATATATATTATATATATATATATAATATATATATTATATATATATATATATATATATTATATATATATATATCAATGTAATGTCTTCAGCGAATCGCAGGTTACTAGGGTACTCTCCATTAACTTTTATCCGTAACTGTGTTCCCATTCTAGGCCACTGACTGTAAGCACATGGTAAATAGCATTGGTGAGATTGTATCCCCCGGCCTTACACCCTTCTTGATTGGTATTTTGTCACTTTATTTATGGAGCACTATGGTGGAACTTGATCCCCTGTAGATTTCTTCCAGGATGTTTATATATGCTTCGTCGACACCCGGATTCCACAGTGTCTGCATGACTGCTTATATATCTACTGAATGAAATGCCTTCTGGTAATTTATGAAGGCTGGGTTGGCTGTATTCTCAGCATTTCTTTATTATCTGTTTGATAGCATAAGAACGTGGTCGATTGTTGAGTAGCCTGTCCTAAATACTGCTTGTTTCTTTGGTTGATTGAATTCTAATGTTGTAATTCTGATAGCAATTACCTTTGTAAATAGCTTGTATACGACGGAGAGCAAGCTGATCGACCTGTTTTCTTCGAGTCCTTGTCGTCTCCTTTCGTATGTATTAAGATGATGCTAGCATTCTTCCAAGATTCTGGTACTCTTCCCGTCAAGATACACTTCGTAAACATGGTGGATAGTTTTTCTAACACAATCTTCACTCCGTCTTTTAGCAGATCTGTTGTTATCTGATCCTTACCAGCAGCTTTGTCTCTTTGAATTCCCTCCGTGCTTTTTGGACTTCTATCTTTACTGGTGGGATGCCATCTGGGTTACTGCTAGTTCTTGTGATGAGGTCGTGGCTGTTGAGATCTCTGCAAAACTTCTCCGTTATTTCAACTATCCCATTCATATTGGTAGTTACTTTGCATTCCTTGTCCTTCGGTGCATATATATATATAATAATATATATATATATATATATTATATATATATTATTATATATATATATATATTATATATATATATATATATATATTATATATATATATCAATGTAATGTCTTCAGCGAATCGCAGGTTACTAGGGTACTCTCCATTAACTTTTATCCGTAAACTGTGTTCCCATTCTAGGCCACTGACTGTAAGCACATGGTAAATAGCATTGGTGAGATTGTATCCCCCGGCCTACACCCTTCTTGATTGGTATTTTGTCACTTTATTTATGGAGCACTATGGTGGAACTTGATCCCCTGTAGATTTCTTCCAGGAGGTTTATATATGCTTCGTCGACACCCGGATTCCACAGTGTCTGCATGACTGCTTATATATCTACTGAATGAAATGCCTTTCGGTAATTTATGAAGGCTGGGTTGGCTGTATTCTCAGCATTTCTTTATTATCTGTTTGATAGCATAAGAACGGGTCGATTGTTGAGTAGCCTGTCCTAAATACTGCTTGTTTCTTTGGTTGATTGAATTCTAATGTTGTAATTCTGATAGCAATTACCTTTGTAAATAGCTTGTATACGACGGAGAGCAAGCTGATCGACCTGTTTTTCTTCGAGTCCTTGTCGTCTCCTTTCGTATGTATTAAGATGATGCTAGCATCTTCCAAGATTCTGGTACTCTCCCGTCAAGATACACTTCGTAAACATGGTGGATAGTTTTTCTAACACAATCTTCACTCCGTCTTTTAGCAGATCTGTTGTATCTGATCCTTACCAGCAGCTTTGTCTCTTTGAATTCCCTCCGTGCTTTTTGGACTTCTATCTTTACTGGTGGGATGCCATCTGGGTTACTGCTAGTTCTTGTGATGAGGTCGTGGCTGTTGAGATCTCTGCAAAACTTCTCCGTTATTTCAACTATCCCATTCATATTGGTAGTTACTTTGCATTCCTTGTCCTCGGTGCATATATATATATATATATATATATATATATATATATATATATATATATGAGATACAACAGACAGTAATGCCAAGGAATGTACAGGGAAGTTATTAAAACCAATGGAATGTAAATAAGAAGAAAGAAAAGTGGATGAAAAAATTACCAACTGTGAGCAGGAATCGAACCTACGACCTTCGAATTACGCGTTCGATGCTCTAACCACTGAGCTATCACAGCGGCCCTCCCTCCATCCACTTTTTTGGGTTTATCTGTGAAGTTAGGTTAGGTTTTTCACACTCGTTGTTTGGCTCATAGATGGCGCTGACTGTCGCTCCTACTTCTAACTTCACAGATAAACCCAAAAAAGTGGATGGAGGGAGGGCCGCTGTGATAGCTCAGTGGTTAGAGCATCGAACGCGTAATTCGAAGGTCGTAGGTTCGATTCCTGCTCACAGTTGGTAATTTTTTCATCCACTTTTCTTTCTTCTTATTTACATTCCATTGGTTTTAATAACTTCCCCTGTACATTCCTTGGCATTACTGTCTGTTGTATCTCATTAATATTGTGTTAAAACACGGAAAAACGAGCCCTTAGGTATACACTTCTTTCCCTTATTTCATTGAACGAGGGTCTCGTACTGGCAGACTTGGTGTGCTTAGGTTGTATAAGAGGGACAATTAATCAGCTGCCCGCTCATAATAAGTTCACGTGCTACGTGACGCCAAACATGCGCATAAGAGTGTTTTCACACTCGTTGTTTGGCTTATAGATGGCGCTGACTGTCGCTCCCACTTCTAACTTCACAGATAAACCCAAAAAAGTGGATGGAGGGAGGGCCGCTGTGATAGCTCAGTGGTTAGAGCATCGAACGCGTAATTCGAAGGTCGTAGGTTCGATTCCTGCTCACAGTTGGTAATTTTTTCATCCACTTTTCTTTCTTCTTATTTACATTCCATTGGTTTTAATAACTTCCCCTGTACATTCCTTGGCATTACTGTCTGTTGTATCTCATTAATATTGTGTTAAAACACGGAAAAACGAGCCCTTAGGTATACACTTCTTTCCCTTATTTCATTGAACGAGGGTCTCGTACTGGCAGACTTGGTGTGCTTAGGTTGTATAAGAGGGACAATTAATCAGCTGCCCGCTCATAATAAGTTCACGTGCTACGTGACGCCAAACATGCGCATAAGAGTCTTTTCACACTCGTTGTTTGGCTTATAGATGGCGCTGACTGTCGCTCCTACTTCTAACTTCACAGATAAACCCAAAAAAGTGGATGGAGGGAGGGCCGCTGTGATAGCTCAGTGGTTAGAGCATCGAACGCGTAATTCGAAGGTCGTAGGTTCGATTCCTGCTCACAGTTGGTAATTTTTTCATCCACTTTTCTTTCTTCTTATTTACATTCCATTGGTTTTAATAACTTCCCCTGTACATTCCTTGGCATTACTGTCTGTTGTATCTCATTAATATTGTGTTAAAACACGGAAAAAACGAGCCCTTAGGTATACACTTCTTTCCTTTATATATATATATATATATATATATATATATATATATATATATATATATATATGTCTATGTCTATGTGTGTGTCACAAAACGAGCGCTCAAAAAGGGCGCGCCGCCAAATTCTCGCGACGAAACGCAGGAGTGACGCCGCGAGGTCCAACGATAAAAAAAAGAAAACAAATATCCAAAGACTCCCGGGCGCGCGACTCTCTCCCTCGGAAGCGTGGG